ATCAAATTAGCATAAATTATGCATATTTAATGATAAAATTTACATAAAATTATATGGGATGTTATCAATATTAGAAACCATGAGTAACTTGACATAGAACCCATAAGATTCTATTGTTGAAACAAAACGTACTAAATTTAGCAAAAAATGCCTGTCAGAAACCCGTTGCCATGGCAACACAAAAATTATTATCTTATTCCAATGATATAGAATTGTTGCCAACAATATTCTAGGAAAAGTCACCAAGTTTGGCCGTTCTACGGCTAGCCGTTCAGACGCTAGGTGACATCAAAGTTGCCGCGGGCACTTTTAGCCCCCCCCCCTCGGTCTAGGTAGGGTTAATGTCATTGAATGCTGTAAACCTCCTCTTTAACATACCAGACTATTGAAATGGACTCATACTTAGGCTTTATTACTCCGTGAAGGAGGTCAGGACCTCCGGACGGAGTGTTGTGAAGAGCTGTTTTTTCGTGTTCGCAGTCAAAACACTGGGTTCTCTTTGTGTAATCAGCACGCAATTTTATACGCCGTCTGCGGGCATGCCCGTGTTGATGCACGAATGTGTATTTTTGCCGTTGCTGCTTTCGCGGTCAATTCAATATTGCAGATGCACCCCTACAATTATGAGGCAAATTGGAATGGTCCAGAAAAACCCGTTGTTTGGAATAGCGGTGGGGGGTGGAACTTCAGGCAGATATGGTGAGGGGCCGATAAGTGGTTCCAGATGTTTTTGCGCGTGCTTAAGAGATGCTTAAGTTTTTTGGAAGATGTTCTCAGCCAAAACGCATTCTTCCTTACGTAGCATTTCTGGTTAATTGGGCATGTGGTGTACCATTATGTCCGTGATGATGCACGTCTTTTTATTTTCACCGTAGCAGTTTTGATATTGAAGTAAATGCATATTTTAGAAACATCCCTACTTTTACAATCCTGTGGAATAGGCCGTAGGTTTAGGCAGTTGTCTGGTAGCAGGGGTTCTCTAAGCAGATATTAGGTGGCTGTTGTGCATAATGGTGGCGAGTATCTTTTGGGATTGTGATTTGCACCTACTGAGATGCCTTGTCAAATGAAATGAAAGATATTGTTATGAAAGCTTACTTTGTTCATCTATTTAGATTGTCGTGTTGTTGATTTTATGTAGCCTGTGTTTAGACTAGTTAGTCTGCAACTGTTTCCCCAAGGGTGGCAAACCTCTAAAGCAGGTGGCCACCAGGAGCGTATCTGCCCGGGTATCTGACCGGCGGTAGTAACACTCGCGGTGCTGGCCGCAACTGTTGCTGGAATTTGGCATGCCGCATGGCCAGTCGCGCTTAATAAGTAACAGGAACGGTAAGACGGTGGGGTTGTCTTTGTTACTAGTGACACGACCATGATAGTCCGATCTTTATGTGAATGCAATGATTGTGTGTGTGTAATTAAAATGAACTTCAAACTTGAAGCACAGTATCTTTACAGGCTCTGGGAGCAGTAATGGATTTTTATGTTTTATGGTTGTGACGCGCCCTCATTGTATTAACCGTTGCCTAACGTCTGCACAGTAGGTCTGGCGTTGACGCTTGGGATTGTTTTTGTTGCAAAATATAAAACTTCACGGAGGATTGTTACCTATGGCTTCTTGTTTTTATTTTGCTGCTTTTTAGATCGAATCTACGAGTATTGTCCACGGTGTATTGTATTCTTTGTAATGTGTAGGGCCTAGGTCCATACAATATATCTCTTGCTATGTGTTTTGTAATGTCTTATGCGCGGGTCACAACACCAGCAATATCTGTGTATTATATTGTAGCAATTCCGATTAAATAAAAATCAAACTATTGATCAAACTACATAATTTTTTTCAAAAATGTTTTCCTTCACATGGCACAGCATAACAAACTACTGCCCTGTTTATCCTCACTAAAACAGTGTCATATATAAAGTGACCATGCTTGAACTCGGTTCTACATGCAGCTTGCAATATTATGTAACTTGACACCGCAGGGTGTCTGGTACAGCACCAGGTACTATGATGACAGCCGTCTGGTAAGGTCATTTGCCTTGTTTGTCTGGAGAAGAGGAAGCTGAGGAAAGAACAGAGCAAAAACAATATGTTTCTGCGAAGGTTAACATAATCAAACGTAACTCTTCTCCTTCTCAGACTTGACGTACCGGTTGGAGGGAGACGCCATCTACCGGTCCTGGGGGCTGGGTCCGCGGTTGTTTTTTCCGGGGGAGGGCAGGTCTGTGTTTGAAGGCTCCATACGTGTACCCAGACAGGGCGCCAAGGAATGGGCCGACAGGACCATCACTGCTTACGTCAAGGTTGGTGCAGTTGTGCAGTCTTTAGTAATGACAATAAGAAGGTAATCTCTCCAAAATCTCTGGTGCCAGCACTAGTTGTAAATGTGTTTTTTTTCTCTTTTTAAGAAGTTCTATAGAAATTTTAACCCATCCACTGCCGCCGAATATCAGTGATTTTAGACGCTTTCAATGAAATTTCAAGGCGACATAAAAAAAAAGAATTGTCTGGATGAGAAAATTTGTCTGATAGTGACGTTTACCGCCATTTCTTGGCACATTTTCGTCCTCATTTGGTACTTGAAGCGCTTGAAATAGCCCCAAACACAAGCTACGAGGCGTCTCTTTTTTAGTGTACCACCCAATAGATACTAGGAGCCAGCCTACGATACAAAACAAGGAAATGTTTTCTGTCAGTGACATCATATTTTTTCCTCACACATCAGTATGCTGCGGGATAGGGTTGACTCAACTTAGGCCATGTTGATTTGATTATATGGCTGACATCCGCGCGCGCATGAATTTTCGGCCGTTTCCAAAAAAAAAAGAAAAGTTTTCAACCATACTGTAAATCGTACAAAACAGTTGCAAAATGAGCAAAAATATACCATAAGTTACAAAAAAAATTAATAAAAACTATACCAATGTCGTAGAATGCCAAAATCAAACGAAAAAAAGACGAAATTGTAAAGAAATCAACTTGAAGACTAAATTATTCGCCAAACCATATTCTGTGTCATTTGCTCAACCCTCATTACCACGTAGATTTCATAATGAAAAGAACCTTTTTTTTTTTGCAAAACTTTTTTTATTCGCACGCGCGCATCAGTTTTGGGGCTCCCGGAGGATGTCATCCATATAATCAAATCAACATGGCCTTAACGTACTAAATAACCAGAAAATCCAGTTGTGTCTCCCTGAAATTGCATTGCCTTTAAGGTAAATGTAGATTTTTCACGATGTTTCATTCCAGCCGGACACGATGGCGATCCTGCACCCGTTGGTAGTGAACCTGACCTGGTCCCTGTGGGACACCTCCTCCAGCAGTAAGCTGTTCTCGGTACCGGGGTACCGAGTACCCAGCCTCGACAGCCGGCCCATTCTCAACCTGCTTCAGCCGCAGTACAAGGAGGTGGAGGTAACTCTGCCAGCTATTACAAGCCATCATAACTACTAAGTTCAAGTTCATTGTGCTAGGAACTAGCGGGTCTAACGTTTCCAGCGAACTAACGTTCAGTTGTAATTCCTTTGGTTAATTATCAGTACTTCTTCTGTTTACATATATTGCATGAGGAGGGAGTTTTTTCGCGCACACTTTTGTTCTTGTTCACTTTTATTCTTATTTATATCTTTGTATTGGTTATATTGTTTTAAGTTAATTGTCAAGTGGGGATGTTAAAATAAGTGTGTAACTTGAATGCCAGCTCCACTTTGTCCTTGCCCTTGTACTGTTTCTTTAGGCCATGTTGATTTGGTTATATATGGATGACATCCGCGCGCGCATGAATTTTCGGCCGTTTCCAAAAAAAAGTTTTCAACCATACTGTAAATCGTACAAAACAGTTGCAAAATGAGCAAAAATATACCGTAAGTTACAAAAAAATAAGTAAAAACTAAACCAATGTCGTAGAATGCCAAAATCAAACGAAAAAAGACGAAATTGTAAGGAAATGAACTTGAAGATTAGATTATTCGCCAAACCATATTCTGTCCCATTTGTTCAACCCTCATGACCACGTAGATTTCATAATGAAAACAACTTTTTTTTTGCAAAAAAATTTTTTTATTCGCACGCGCGCATCAGTTTTGGGGCTCCCGGAGGATGTCATCCATATAATCAAATCAACATGGCCTTAATTAATAAAAAAACTAGAGAGGTGTGCTCAGTATCACTCACTGAAAGTTTATTTTTCCGGCAGATTGGTTTTGTGAAGGAATGTGGAGCAGATTCTGTCTGCATCAGTAATCTGAAACTACAGGCACAGTTACTTCTGTTTGGGTAAGTACGACACTTGGTGTTCTAACACATGATACTAGTAATTCAGCTAGGACAATTCAGTTAGTTGCCAGCCATATAATTCCGTTACAAAGTTGCAGTATAACCATGTGTTGGCATTTTCTACTCATTCATTGGAAAACAATTTTAACGCTATTCTATTGTTACATCTCAAAGATGAGGTCAAATAGTGGTATTCTTCTAGACACTTCAGCAGTTTTGTAATATTTCATCCATTAGATGATTCTACATGAAAAATAGTTATTATTCTAAAAGATAAATGCTCTTTGTTCTCTGCAAACTGGAAAATCCGTGTTCTTTGCCACTCTCTCTCTTTCTCTCTCTCTCTTTCTCTCTCTCGTTGAAACGATAACTAATCGTTGTGTCAAATATTTGGAAATTTCCAGAAATCCTCCGACGTTTAGTCTCGGCAGTTCTCGCGAGATCCGTGCTGAGGTCCAGGTGGATAACGAAGGCGGAGAGCCTGCGTACAACACGGAGCTGCGCGCCTACCTGCCGGAGAGACTGTTCTACGCGGGGATGATAGAGCACAATTCAGGGGAGGTCAGTATCGTACGAGTGTGTACTATAGAGTCTGCTGAATTTCTGGAGGGCATCATGAGGGCATCTGGAAGACAGAGTATCAGCAGTCGCCAGACTCGCTCTTCAAACAAACTGAACTTACAGCGTTGTAAAACAGATCGATACAGGAACTGTGCCATCCCCCACATGACACGTTTGATAAACAATTCATAGTCCTTGATAACATTATTGCTCCACTCTTCGTTACAGATTCTTGTGTCAATTTTAGCCATTTGCCTGTCAATTTTAGAGTGATTTTTAATGTCCCACAATGTTATTGTCGATTTTAGCCATTTGCCTGTCAATTTTTAGAGTGATTTTAACGTGTTCTCAAATTTTATCTATGATATCGCTGACTAAATAAGTTGACCGTTTACATTTTAGTATGTATTTGAAGTAGTATGATGACATGACTTTGTTTGTAAACCAGCCTGACAATTCGGCCTTCGGGCTGCAACTGGGCTGTACTTTTTCGTGAATTGAAATAAACCATTCTACTACTACTACTACATACACTACTGTTACAGTATTAAAGGAGCATTAAGTAACATGTTTTCACCAAAACTTGAAATATCTTAATGAAAAAAATCGTGATTGTGAACGGTAAGGTAATTCCACTGTTTATTTGTGGAATTTTCTCACATTTTCTACATTTATGGTTGGCCCTAAATAAGCCCACACGAGCTGCCCTCAGTTCGCGGTGCCACCACAAACGTACCAGAATGTAAACAAACATGGCTGACAGCTGTGTTCCCAGATTTTAATCACACTCGTGAGGCATCATATTTGGCAACTCCACTTCGTGAATGAAACTTGAATTGGAGTAGGGTTATTTCAACTAACTTTGTAAAGAAATGACCAGAAAATGACCTTTTTGTATAGTCCTAATGCAGCTTTAAATCGAATGTTGATTATATAACAAACAGTTGTGGCGAGCTAACTTTGTATGCTCCACCTCTACTATGGAGGATGAATGATGATGATGATGATGTTGATTATATAGTCCCTTGCCTCGATTGTTCCAGACGCGAGTATCGTGTCGCACGGTGGAAGATAACTCATCCGTGGTGATCTGTGAGGTTGGAAACCCCGTGTCCAAGTCGGTAAGTAAGGCCATGTTGATTTGATTATATGGATGACATCCGCGCGCGCATGAAATTTTTGGCCGTTTCCAAAAAAAAAAAAGTTTTCAACCATACTGTAAATCGTACAAAACAGTTGTAAAATGAGCAAAGATATACCGTAAGTTGCAAAAAAAATATCTAAAAACCGTGCCAATGTCGTAGAATGCCAAAATCGAACGAAAAAAGACGAAAATTTAAAGACATGAATTTGAATAGTAGATTATTCGCCAAACCTTATTCTGCCTCATTTGTTCAACTGTCATGACCACGTACATTTCATAATTTTTTTTTGCAATTTCTTTTTTTTATTCGTACGCGCGCATCAGTTTTGGGGCTCCCGGAGGATGTCATCCATATAATCAAATCAACATGGCCTCACTGTCAGAAATATATTTTTCTGCCTTTTAAAAACCTTTGCAATACAATGAGTAATTGTTCCCAGTGTTGCTGATGTCTTTTCCTCGTGTACTTACAGAATGAGCAGTGACAGTAACACGTCAGACAACTCCGTCATCCTGAAGGCAAAGGTGGTAGTTGACGTAGACCTGTCTATCACTGGGTATGTCCTAGTATTGATGTATCCATCTGTTAGTCAGTAAAACGTTTGGTTGAAACTCGATGTTTTAACATCGAGTTGCAAAAGCATTCAGCATCACTATAAAAAAAGCATTCAGCATCACTATAAAAAAGCATTCAGCATCACTATAAAAGGTCTCATACGTTGGCAATTATAAACTAACTCCTGAGGTAAGGCCACACCAAGTAAATTTTATGGATGACGTCCTTTGGAGACCCTATATCTAATGCGAGAGGGCGAAAAAAAAACAAGAAGGGCCCTAAAAAACAAGATGCCTAGATTAGAAATATACTAAGAGACGACAAATGTTAGGACACAAATTGAATGAGGT